TCGCAAAGGTAGAAAGCCTGAGAAAATCTCAAAGTCCTTTTATAGAAAGACAAATCCAATCTCCTCCGTCGAATTCAAATGCGATCAATCTAAGCCGTTCATCGCATCTTCAATCTAGGCCATTGAAATGAAACACCAGATTTGATCTACGCCCAAGATGTCGCTGTGACATTCACGCTTACTTAAAACGTGTCACATCAGTTACAACCAGCCGTCAATAATAATAAGTACCCACAGTAGCCTTTTAGGAGAATGGGCGTGGCACCCAACTGTCACCTTGGAAACATGCAACAGTTGTCAAATCATTTGACATTTGAATCGCCTGGAATTGAGCTCCTCACTGAACTTTACAAAGTTTGGACGCACCTGATGCGAAGCCCCCTGTGGGTCATCGCCTCGGATGCTGCGTTTCCTCCCATGCTTTACAAAGTTTTAACCATCTCCCAACGCGTCGGCCCTATGGCTTAGCGCACCAGTGGCAGATAAACTCTTCACTCAACTTTACAAAGCTTGGACGCACCTGACGCGACGCCTCCTGTAGGTCATCGCCTCGGATGCTGCGTTCTCTCCCATGCTTTACAAAGTTTTAACCATCTCCCAACGCGTCGGCCTTGTGGCTCAGCGCATCGGTGGCAGATAAGCTCCTCACTCAAATTTACAAAACTTGGACGCACCTGACGCGAAGCCCCCCGTGGGTCATCGTTTCGGATGCTGGGTTCCCTCCCATGCTTTACAAAGTTTTAGCCATCTCCAAACGCGTCGGCCCTGTGGGTCAGCGCACCATATTTAAGAAGTTTCGAGGCACCTAACGCGAAGTCTCATGACGGTTACCGCCTCGGACTCTACGCACAGTAACGAAACTTTGGCACATCTGCCTAGGATCATAACCTCGATTATTGCAAAAGATCAACCCCCAAGCTCCCACAAGTCACGGTCCGATCAGGAAAGCAAGTCCACCCATGATATAAATATTCATACCTGGACTTGGGGGACCACTGTTACGCTCCGATCTGATACGCCTCGGAACGCACACCACCATATATTCCGACCTGGTAAAGACCCGTTCGAAGTGTTTCCGAAGCGATGTCAGCAATGCCTGCAACCTAGTAGTACTCACCTGACCAAAAGTACCTCGCCCCCGATGTCGAGGCCAAGTGGACCCCGGTTAGAAGATCCGCCGCCAATTTCAGAAAGAGATTTGTGCCAAGATCTTTTCTGCACCTAAGGTTTAAATTGATTTGACGTCTCCATGAGGCTAGTTGATGTGACTTATCAACTTTATGTCAATTCAATTCAGAAGAGACAAGCTGTCCGTCCACTCTACAGACGCGGTTGATTGACGCCTATGAGCGAACGCCTCGTACCGTCAGATGTATACACGCGTCCCACATCCAACAGCTCATATCACCTTTAAATACCCAAGGTTTGACAAGAGGCAAAGGTAATGAAACTCTTACTACATAGCACTCCATAGCAAGCTTATATATTTTTTCCTCCCCCTTTATCATTGATTTGCACAGCCCCTGGATACTGTTCCGACCACTTAAACCTAACTTGACTATCGAAGTGTATACGGCCGCCACCACCCTCGCTGGTCCCGGGCATGTGCATCTGATCATTTGCTAATTGTGCGCAGGGAGGAATACGTGGAGTAGCTCTCGGTTAGCCACGTGGAATGACCAATTTTCGAGGTCAACAGTTGGCATGGGACTGGTCAAGTGAACTCAAGGTTATGTCTGGATTGTCTGCCTCACGTGGGTTTTTGGTTTGCTGCTTATCATGGTATATGAGTCCACTGTAGTTAAAAAAAGCATAATACTTTATTACTTTTATACTTATTTCTTAATATTGATATTTTTACACCTTGTAATTGTTTTCCTTGTTATGTAAATATGCTTATGAGTGAATCTCTCAGTGTTCCTTTACCTTACGAGAAACTTGAGCACTAGACAAGAGAAGTCTGCATTAAAGTAAAGAAAATGCTATCTCATCGGTAGGCCCTCAGTGTGTTGATCATCAATTTCTAATTTGGCATCGAGGTGCTGTTACTCATAATTAACCAGTTATTGATCTTAGTCAGTGCTGAAAATCTGAGTGATATAGCTAGTTATCAGCCGACCCCAACTTCTGACGCTGATACGCTGATTTCAACCTAAACTAGGATATGTCAGATCGGGGTCAATCCTACTAATATTCAGTAAATATACCGAGCTCAAGATTCATAGAGAAATTATATGTGTTACTAAGTTCGACTTGTCATCAATGTTTAATTGAAATGAAAAGTCTCGCATTGCCATGAAGTATCAAGAGCTTGGCCTCATGTTGGCTCAAGATGCCAGGAGCATGGGCGGAGCCATGCACAGTCCAGTGCAGGCAAATGCCCGCACTGGACTTTTGGCCCAAGTCCATTGTGTTTTTTTTTTTTTTTTTTTTTTTAAAGGTATGTTTCTTATTTATTTAAAGTCCAACCCATACACTAATTTGCCCCAACTCCAAGTGTACGGTGACATTTTCTGACTCTCTTCCCTCAGCAGGAAATTAAAAAATTTTCTTTAAATCTGCTCTCGTTTTGAAATATTTTCAAAGTCCATTTCTTTCCTAAAACCCACATGTTTTTGGACCCTCAAATTTGCAGCAAAAATTTTCTTTATCATGTGATTTTTCTATTTAATATTAAGGATTTTGATTATGTGAATGTTAAATATTGGTAATATTTGTGATCGATTCTTGAAATTTTGATTTTTGTCAATTATTTAAACAATTAGTAATGATTTTATGGTGTTTTACCAATTTGTAAAAATTAGTAGTTCTTTTCTTATCAATTAGTACTTAATTGTCACTTGTGGTTTATTTTAGTGTGAAGTGTCAATGCAGAGTTCTTTAAAAGAAAATATTTCGTAGAAAATGTTGATGTGAAGATAGGGAATAAAATGAATTTTGATGTTGCATAACTTGCTATAGATCCTAGAATAAGGAAGAAGATAATTATCTTATTAGTGTTGTCGTTATGTTATTTTTCGCATTGTCATAATATCATTAAATCCTTAATCGAAAATTTCGACTTTGATTAAATTTTGCCCGCACTGAACAAAATTTCTGGCTCCGCCCCTGGCCAGGAGCATGTCCCAACAAGTAAATAGGGACAATATCTATCTTAGTTCAAGAATGTATTAGACACGTAAAGACATTATGACCTACTAAGGAGATCATATTTATGAAACCCTTGTGACGCCCGTAATGGCTTCTACTAGAAATTCAAGAAATAGAACAATTTAACAAGACAAATCAGTGCCTCCTAGGACGGTTGCCAACCAAAGTGTTGACTGTGAATTTCAACAAGTGTATGTTTAGTATATAGTATTATACAAATTTAGAGGGTAACCATATATGCTACAAGTCTTTTAAATTTTACGGTGTTTTAAGAGAAGAAAACGTAATATGCAATCTAACAGTGTGCAAAGTATTATTATATTTGACTTAGATTGTTTGTTACTAGTTTATTTCATAGGTGTGACAAAAAGCAGGTAGACAGATTTGAGAGAGACATTTTCACCAACCATTGTCATAATGTGGCACGCTTCTATTTTAGTAATGCAATTAGTAAAACTCAATGATATCACACTTTTTCACTTTCATTTCTCTCTACATCTTTCTTGAAAATAGTCGAGATAACATTAAAAGATCCTAATTAATTTATGATGTTAGTTCTTGAAATTATCCAAATGAATCATCCTTATCGTGGGGTTGTAACTGATGAATGCAAGTTGTAAGTTTTGCTTCAACGTTATGATGCATTGCCTTCATAAGCCTTTGAAAATAAGCAACATTGTGATTACACTAAAACCCAACTGACCCAATATAAAAATATTATTCAATATATAAAAGATTATATTACTCGTCTTAACAAGATTGACATTTTAAAATGAAATTTTAAATTTTAATATATTCTCATTTCTTATTTTGGAATTGCTGGGAAAGCATACAAGAATGGGGCTAAATTCAACAATTAATTTTAATCTCACATTTTATAAGATCCACAATGTTTATCAACTTTCAACAACACATTTCATCAACATTCATCAATATCTTTTAAAACTTTTATCAAAAACTTTGTCAAACGACCCTTTTATATACTTCAGGATATTTACTACCTTAATATCTACATTTCTGCTATATTAGTGACAATTGAATTGAAAAATTTGTCACTAATTTGTTTAGATTCAGAAGTAATGTGTTAGAATTGATCAAAGCTTCCCTATAATGTTATATAGACAATGACTGAATGAGTACATACAAAGAGACGTTTTGACTCATATTATATATCAAGAGCCATGCATCAATTCTGTTAACACTTTTGAATCATCCATAGAGACACTTTCTGTTGATTTTGGTGATTAGACTACTTTTAGAGTCTTAAATGTCTTTAGACTGTTAATAAAGCCCAATGGAGCTCTTATGGGACAATCTCTTTCATCGTGGTACTTGGAGATGGTCAAGAGATCATTTAAAAGTTCAACATTTTCAAAGTTCAAATAATTATATATTCTCTCATTTATAATAATAAACTTAAATTATAGATGAAATGGTTCAACATGATATTAGAACATATAAAAAGTATTCAATTCAATTCCTCGTGACTCGTATCTAAAAATTGTGCGCATATCAGGGTTTTAACTTTTCAATAGTTTCTGATCCTAGTGACATTACATGTATCGTGCGTGCATTTTCAAGCAGTCGTGCTAGGGGTCGATAAATTCGTAAATTCATTTATGCATATATGGAAGGCTAAACTTAGATTTCTTTAACCTCTTAAACTTTTAGACAGACAAATCTATATATATAAATAAAATAAAATTGTTTCCAACTTGTGAATATAGTTCTTGCTTTCTTCATCTCTTAAGCTTTTCAAAGTCACCTCAATTTATATAGGTCTTCAACCCATGCATAAGCCTTTCATCAGCAAGCATGCCTTTTGATTTATCTACTCTCACTATCAAAATATTATTCAACTCTATTTTTGAACTCTTCTTAATACAACTTTCTGCTGCCAAAATTAATCGATTCGATACCATCATCCATGGAACGTCCTACCAATGATAGTAGCACGCACAAGGAGAATGATGACAAAGAGATTCCTCAACCTGGGCAAGTTTCTTTGAATCGGCCTCTGAAGAAGATTCGGAGTCTTCAATTTCAAAACAATCGAAATCATTTTCAATCTTCTTGTTCTAAACTAGTTTACCCTTTCGCGTTAGACGAGCCTGATGAAACAGGCCTGTTTTCGTGGTTTCACTCATTGACACCACACGAGAAGAACCAAAACATGATTTCTTTCGAGCCTGACCATCATCGCCAGGGACTATTTGGCTTTGATTTACACAATCAACCTCTTCAGAATCGAAATGGCAAACGTAATCTGGATCCAACAGAAGGATTGTTACCAAGAACAATGTCAACAGATAGAACTGCATCTATCCCTAAACTCTATAGGGGAGTGAGACAGCGCCATTGGGGTAAGTGGGTGGCCGAGATTCGTCTCCCTCGCAATAGAACTCGACTCTGGTTAGGGACATTCGAGAGTGCTGAAGCAGCCGCTTTAGCCTATGATCGACAGGCCTTCAGATTAAGAGGCAGAAAAGCGCGATTAAATTTCCCACAACTTTTCTTTGGCCCAAAATCGGGTGAATCATCAGCAGCCTCAAATTCTAGTCATACTGCCCAAAATTATTTACTCGAAAACTTTCATCAAAACCAAAAACAGCCCGATTTTCAGCCTGATTGCAAGGAAAATGTTGTCGAAAACAATTTTGAAAAGGGCTGTCCGTCAGTACCAAATGAAACTGAAATTGAAGATAGTCAAGAATCGACAAGAGAGTTTGTATTCGGGGAAAGCTGTAATTTGGAATCATTTGATGAATCACATTGGGTGAATTCGTCAGATGTTTGGATCAATCCATTGCAACCCGATTTTTTTCCAGGCGGTTCAAATTCAATTTGGCAAAATACTACAAACAACGATTCGCTGTCCTCTGTTCCTGGATCCATTGACGAGGTTTTGGATGATACGTTTTTCCAGATACAAGAAGAGAATTTAAGTTGGAAAGGAGATAATTTATCATCCATAACTTTCGACCCTACTGAAGACAAGATTTTAATGAATACACAAGACCGTCTTTAAACTTTGGCAGAATAATCTACGTTTTCAGATTAAGTTAGCCATATTTTCTACTTACGAATTGCTCATTTAAGTTCTTGAAATTGCTCTTTGTTCTTGATAAAATAGAATCATGCACGAGTTGATGGGGTGAATGGCAATATATCCTTATACTGTATGCAGAATCATGCATGAGTTGGTGGCTTGAACGCCATTATTTTTTTCCACTAGAGCATGCTTGGAAGCTTAAAAATAACTAAACGTTTGTAAGCAAACAAGTAATAATTTAATTTATTATTATTTTTTATAAAAAAAAAGTTAAAAATAACTTGTTTTTCAATAATTTGCTCATAACATTCAAGTTTTCTTGCAAATGGGATAGGATTGGAGATTGTGTGTAATTTGAGAAATGCCTTTATCGCACGAAACAAATTTGACTATGAGTATTAATGGTCAGATCAGCAAAAGTCGTAATTAATTATGAATATTAATTGAAAAATTAGCAAAAGTCGTACGTAATTATATAACTCAAATCGTCATGAACCATTCGCATGGAAATTAATGACTAGACACAAATTTGGTCAGCGTATGTACATTATTGTTAAACCATTATTGAATTGGAATTTGTGATGGTTTGTAAGCAATCTTTAGATGCTTAGATGCTTGACAATTTGTAATTGTTGATTGTTAAGACTTGATATTCCATCTTAAAAAGTCAACATTATTAAGAGGAATAATCCAATCCTTTATAAATTATAAGTTGGTCTATATTTTCATCTTTAATCGATATAATATTTTATTCTTTAACATGCCCCCACAAGATGGTAGCTCGCTTGAGTGGATCAATCTTAAAATTCAATGCTCATTTATTGAGTTTGATCGAATTGCTCTTTAGAGTTTAATGAACTCTGATACCATCTTAAAAGTTGGAGTTCTATCTTAAAAGGTCAACATTGTTAAGAGGAGTAATTCAATCCTTTATAAGTTGGTCTATATTTTCATATTTAATCGATGTGAAATTTTATTCCTTAATATTGACTTTGGTCTATATTTTCATATTTAATCGATGTGAAATTTTATTCCTTAATATTGACTTGTGAAGTCCTTGGCTGTTTTCGATCGAAATCGAGAATTTTATGACATTAGAGTCTACAAAACAAGAATTGATTGGTCAATTTGAACAATGAATATAGCGGTGATCAATACGATTTTGCAGTTTAAATAGCAAACAAAGCTTTTAACATATTTTACGTTGGGCCTAACCTTTACAGAGAATGTCAACCATATATCTTAGAGTATGTTTGGCGAAGCTTAAATTATAATTTAATTTAATCAAATATACTTTTTATTCATACATTTTATAGAACTTGCAACTTAAAGTTCACTTATTTTTACCAACTGTAAGACTCATAGTTCATAAATACATGACAAAAGCACTATCAAGTAAGCATTTAAAAGATCAATGGTGAAGATGACACTAATTGAAAAGTTGGTGGCTAATAGTGAAATTATAACAATAAAACACTTTTCTATGACTTTTGGGTGAGAGCTATCTCGGACCATGGGCCCTTCCCTGGGCTTCAGTTCTGGAGGCCCAAGTTGGAATGAAGCAAAGACACAACATCGCCAATGAAAATAGAGACACTCAGACACGCGAGAGGCCCAAATTAACACTCTTGGGCTGGAAAAAGAAAATGGTTATGTAAGTTTTAGATATTTACGCCCGGTTAGCAGTTTGATTTAACTAAAAATCATGTTCTTAGTCAATTTTGATAAAAGATAATGAAAAATATGGATGAAAAGTTGATGAATGTTATGAATTTCATGAAATGCGTAATTAAAAATGAGGACTAAACAAGGGCTTTAGTTTCAGTTTGTTCAGGATTTTAGGCATGAAACCTTATATATGTTACAACGGTTCGCTATTTTATAATTTACTGCTGATTTGTGAGGGGGGCGCATGATATTCAGCCCTCGTTTGATACCCATTACTTGAAAATGAAAATGCGGGGAATAGTATTTTTTAGAAAAATGAGTGGTTGAAAAAGTAGGAAAAGTTTTCGATTTACGTGTAATATTATTTTATGAAAAATTGTGTGGTTGAAAATAGGATAGAGAAAAATGTAATGTAATGTAATTGAATTTAATGGGGATCAAACGGGGGCTCATTTTTTGGGGGTCGGAAAAATTTCTGGAAATGTATTTAATTAATTCCGAACTTGGTAGACCTTTTAGCTGCAACAAATTGAGTCCAAAATAGCGAGGGTGTCATTTTGAATGAGCTAGTCGATCGAATTCAAGATAATTCTTAAATTAAGATATTACCTCAGTCCTTTTGGCATCCAATTTAATTTTGTATTTACTGATATCAAACGAATGTACCAACAGGCATTCCCGTACCAAACAAGGTCAAGATTACAAGATTGAATTTAGCCCTTGTTTGACAATCGCTAAAATGAGTTTTTCGAGGAAAAATGAGTTTTGGAATAATAAATTTTTAGAGAATGAGTGGCTAAAAAGTAAGAAAAATTTTGATGTAAAATATTTTATTGTAAGAATTTATGATTTAAAATAAAATTGAACAAAAAAAAATAAAAAAAAATGTTTTTTTAATGATTGTCAAATAATTTCTTAGGAGTACAGAGTCTTATCACGTGGCTGGGACCCAATGTCATTTGAATAATTCAACTGACAAAAAAGGGAAGAAATAGGCCATAGATAAGTTGATGTACATTTCATCAAATTGGGTAGTTAATATTCGCTTTTTGTGTACGGCTTTCAATCTATTGGTCGCAACTTCTTCGAAGTAAGTTAAAAAATAGGAAATAATTGATTAAATTTAACTTGGTCACTCATATTTTGTAAAATTTATTTATCGATATTTTAGAATTCTTTGTAGTTCTAGGAAGAATTAGAATAGAATAGAATAAAAATAAGATCTTTTTTTTTTTTAAAAGTTGGTTACTAAACACCAAAAACTGAATATTCATTATTGTAAAAGTTTCAAATAAAATGAATAAGTAGAAACTCTTATATAGGTCAAAGGAAAATGCTCTTAAATAAAGAAAACAACAACATTGGATTGTTAGAGTGGGAATCTGCAATGACCACGAAAACAAAGTGGAAAAGTTAGAAAATTGCAGCAAACATATGTGGAAGATCAAATCAAAATCAAACCAATGATGAAGATGCTTCACAGTCACTAGAAAATAACAACTCGAAAATAAATTTTAAGGCATGTATTAGCGTATTTCTTAAAATGTTATTTGTCCCTGCTATCAGTTTTGCACATGAAAAATGTAGAATGCATCCAGGGTACGATGAAATCATTACTTTGGTATTTATGTAGCGCACTTGCGAAAATAACCTCAAATACAAAGGAGAGAAAAAACCACCTTCAAGAAGCTCGTATTTTGTATTTTCAGATTAACAAAAGATGAACGAACTTAAAGGAAAAAGTATATGGGAATTTAATATGCAAAAACAATTTTAGGATGAGGACAACAAGAAAGATTTACTTATTTCCAACATCTTTGATCTTCCCATCATCTTCAATCAAAAGATTCATGAAATTATTTATAGATTTGTTCCCAACTCTTCAAAACAATTACAATGCCTCATTAGAGTCACAACTATAGATGTTGTAAGTTACATGTCCAAATTGGGATGAAAAGATATCAAATAAGGGACAAAACATGAATGTGTCAAAACATGATTGTAGAAATCACTGCATGCCACCATCCAGTCGCTTAGATGCATTAGGTGGCTTCGCCATAGAGCCTATCATGGCCCTAGGCGATCACACCCCTGTTAGGCAAGAAACAAGTGGGGACAGGCCCCACATTTTTTTTAAATACGTGGAGCCCAACCCCAAACGGTGAAGGGCTTGTAAGGCCCCTGTGAAAATGTACCTGTACGTGCAGCTTTTTTCTTTCAAATATTCACCAACAATCAGTAAATTTGCCAACATTCGAGAGGAAGGTCATGTGTTTATGCTTTCCCTCCTCCCTTGTTTGTCATATATGGTCTAATCCAGTTGGCAATTTGGAGGAAAATTATCGATTCGTCCAAATTTTGATCAGTTCTTGATGGGGTCAATTGATTTCCGATCCAATACCTCATCGGACCGATTAATGGGTTGAGTTGCTGATTTTTCGATCGATTCAATCTGAGTTTGATAATTATGACCAAAATAATTGCATACATCGTGTTTAAAAGTGAAAATATGAAGAAAAATAATTACATTTGTTATTTAGTGTTCTTGTTCACTACTTCTCTGCCCCCATGAGATATGTAAGGGTTTTTGACAGCTCATGTGTATTATGCACCAATCCGCCAGCTCATATAGAGACCAAAACCAAATTGAATACCAATACTTCGTCCTTCTTTTTTTTTTCCTTTTTTTTTCCCACTATTTAAAATTCTGATGCCCATATGATCTTGTCCTTTTTTCTGGTTTTTTGATTCGTATACTCAATCATTGCGTTTATTATTATTTTTTTTTGCTACTTAATTAATTTATTCTATGTCATTCAAGAATAGTTTGTCGGAAGCAAACAACGAGAACACTGAAATCTTTAAAAGGAATCAAGGATTTAATGAATCAATAAACGAATAAAACTCTGATAAAAATAAGGTATTGATATAAAATAGATGATAAAATCCAAAATCATCCAAAAGGTTCTCCTAATCTTCCAATTAATTTACATTTTTTAATCTAGTAAAATTAAAATAAAACATAATTTATTTTTGTTTCGATTAATAAGTTTTCACAAATAATGCCTTTTTGTTTTAAAAAAAATCAGATTTTTAGTAGATTTTAATAAAAATCGATAGAATATGTGGTTGAAAGTTATGGATCACATATGTGATTAAAATTAATTGTTGATTTTCATTTAATTAGCTAAATCGCCAGAATTATATCGTTTTGTAACTAAATTTTATAAAACGAAAAGGAAATTTGATTCGCTCATCAAACTTCAAATTTAACCAGACATTTTATGAGACTCGTAGTTTTATCAATTTTTCAACCACACATTTCATTAATTGCTTTGATCAAAATTTTTATTCAAAAACTTCTTGACCCAAGGCCTAAATATTATTAGTTGTTTAGCGCAGTAAATTACTTTTTTATTATTGTCAAAGAAATACGCAT